ATGCTCTGCTGCCGCTGGCCAAAGATCCTTAATAATTTCATCTTTTGTGTTTTGTGGTGCCGACGGCATATTGAGGCAGGTGCAGAGGAGATGCACAAATCTCTGCCCGCTCCTGCAGCCCCATCCAGATCTCGTGTTCACAGTGCCATGGCATGGGGTTCAGCAAGACTCACTCCAGTGCCGGGTAGACCAGGTCATGCCTGCAGCCCAGTGGGCGTGGCGTGAGGCAGCCCAGAAAGGCCATGCTTTCCATTTGAACCAGAACTTGTTCCAAATACAGAAAGGGGGCAATGGTATTCTAAGGAACACAAAGGACCTGGGACCCCATTGTATCTTTTCTCACTCATTTTACTTCCCTGTATTAGCCGAGCACTTTCACTGGAATGGTGGCATGGAAGGAAAGGGAAAGACAGGAAGACCCAGAGTTCTCCTTTCATCCCTCCTTCCTTATCAGTAAGCAGGAGGCAGTGAGTGTTGGTGCCAGCATCGAGAAGTGAAATAGAAGCAGGCAAGTGAGTAATGTGCATGGTTTTCATTGTTCTGGTAAGAACAGAAAACACACACAGATGAACCAGGAAATACGAGCTGTGTAATTTCAGTGATTCGGTGTATGAGTTGAAAGCTCTTCTATCTGCATTTAAAACTGGCATTCTACGATAGAAAGATGAAGAGTAAAATTCATGCTAGCAATTTAAAATTTTAATTTTTCTTTACTGAGAATGGCATTAAATAGCAAGAAAACACCATGGCTAATCAAGAGAGCCTGGGGAATGGAGGAAGAGGTTTGTATTTTTAGCACCTTTAACTGCACTTTGCTGGGCTTTTGAACAAGGCACCTTTATTTCATTTCGCATGGGGCCCTGCATGTTCTGTCACTGGGCCTTTTCCCAGTGGAAAAACAGATGAGGTCTGTGAAGTGGGTGGAGGCTGCAGCCAGGGTGAGGGGGACCGGCAGGAGAGACACAGTTTAGTCCTGTCTCCTGCCCGTCTTGGGATGGCCTGGACCACGGGAAGTCATCCCGGGGACTGTTAGGGAGCTGCGAGGTCCTCCTGGGTGGGACAGCACTGGAGACAATGAAGAGCTATCTGGAGAGCCTCCTCGCGGATGCCACAGGATGATGCAGCACAAGGTAGGGAAGCGGCTCCTCCTCTGTGGGCTCTGGGGAGCAAGGAGTGGTGATCGGTTTCAGGAAGGAGCCCGCACTCCGGGCCTTCCCTGCATGGGCTTGGTTTCTGTGTCTCCCCACTGCAGGCTGCCAGTAGAGCAGCTGCCGTCCCGACACCATTGGGCGCTCACAGGCCAGAGTCACTCGACGCCCAAGGAATATGGCCAGCTGGAGAGAAAAACATGCTTCCTGGGGATCCATGTCAGTCCATGTCTCTGTGGCATTAGAGGAGGGGCAAGGGGTGACTGGGAGTAAGCCCATGCAGGACGGAGGGGAGGGGCAGGTGCAGGCAGAAGAGCTTCAGATCCTGATGCAGGTCTGAGTCCAGCAAAAGAGACCGGGAAAGAAGGGGCTTGGGTAGGAAGAGTCTCAGACTGCAGTCCCCTTCCCAGAAGCTTTCGATCAAGCTGATGGGTGTCCCTGATAAAGCTGCCCTTTGGAGGGTCTTGAGTGGGACGGAGGGGCCAGCACTGGTATCTCAGACTCTGTCTTTGATGAGGAGCAGTCAGGGAACAGGTGGCAAAGCTTAGTCTTGATATAACAGTAATTGCTATAAATGTAAGTGGGTTAAATTCCAATTAAAAGGCAGAAACAGATACGATTTTAAAATTTCAGCAATGGGTTGCCTAAAAGAGATATGCTTTAAAAAGATACAAAAAGCTTAAAATAAAAAATTTGGCAAAAGACATAGCAGGCAAATATGGACCAAAGAAAACTGGATTGACATGTTAATGATATTCAAATTTAAGGCAAAAAATTTAAAAAACTGCGAACACCAGACAAAGAAGGGCACACATGTATATGGGTGCAAGGAACCACAGAATGATAATGCACGTCTATCAAAATCATTCTAATATCTAAAAATATGGCCTCAATACACAGCAAGTAGCATGTGCCAGAACAGCTGGGAGAAGCAGATATTTTAACAATTCTAACTGGAGATTTTTAAAAATAATAATCATAGTTCACATTGACAAAAATTAGCAGAAATCTCCAAATCCTGATCAATACAATGAATAACCTTAAAAAACTTTTCTTTCTGGGATCTTACCTTACTGAGTCAACAATTCATAATTTTGAACTGTTACATAATATACAGAACTCTCTGCCCATCAAGCAGAGAATACAACCATTTTGAACACATGTAGAACATGTGTGAAATAGACTATGTGTTAGGACCTAAAGAAGGCTCAATGAATCCCAGAGGCACAGGGCCATGCAGACTGGGCTGCTAGCTTCTGTTTGTGCTTCTAAGTTCCCTTTGCCCATTACTCAGGAGACCACCTGAAATGGACCATACTCCTTGGGTGCCCCTGACCTCCAGCTTCCCCTTGGGTTCAGCCAAAGCACTACCAGATCAGGGGAGGAGGGAGAGTGAGGTCCAGGGTTTGCTGCCCTGGCTCCCTTCCTGGGAAATTCTGGCTGGCTGCACCCCTCCGCCTGAGCCTCTGCTTCTGCCTGCCCCCCTCCCTGCAAGCAGTAAGGCTGCAGTGCCACCAAGCCCTTGGGGCTCTCCAACCTCCTGCCCACACCTTTGTCAATAGTCTCTTTATCAAACACTTCTCAAATTACCCAATTTGAGTGTGCCATCTGCTTCCTGCCAGGATCTTGACTGAATACAGACTTGTTCTCTGACAATAATGCGATTAAATTAGAACCTGGTAACAAAAGGTTATAATTAAAGAAATGCTATTGAAAAGTAAATAATGTTATTAAATAACCCTGCGTTTAAAAGGAGATCATCAGGGACAGTAGAAAATATTAGATCTTAATGATAATGAAAACATTTTATGTCCAAATTTGTGAGACTCAGCCAAGGCAGTCTTGTAGAAGGAATTTTGTAGCTTTTAATATAGTAGATCTATTGGAAAATCAGAAGGCTTAAAAAGGAGCTAAGCATTTAGTTAAAGACAGAGGAACAGATCGAATCCAAAGAACCACAAGGGAAAGAAATAATACAGAAGGACAGAAGCAAATGAAATAACGGGAAAGACATTTAACAGAACTAAAAGTTAGAGCTCTGAAAATATTTAAAAATATTAAAAGAGAAAAATGTCAAAAACAAAATACAGGCTAAGTGCACGCTGGTAATCCCAGCACTTTGGGATGCCGAGGCGGGTGGATGACTTCACCTCAGGAGTTTGAGACCAGCCTGGGCAACATGGCAAAATCCTCTCTACAAAAAATGCAAACATTAGCTGGGTGTGGTGGCACACACCTGTAGTTCCAGCTACTAGGGAGGCTGAGGTGGGAGGATTGCTTGAGCTGGGGAGGTTGAGGCTGCAGTGAACCAAGATGGCACCACTGCGCTCAAGCCTGGGAGACAGAGCAAGACCTTGTCAACAACAACAACAACAACAACAAACTGTAAAAAGCCAGAATATAAAGAAAAAAAGATATGCTAGTCACTTAAATATTAACGTGAAATAGATTAATTCCTAGAAAAATGTCAATTGCCTCGAGAAATAGAGAGCTTGCCAGATTAAAAACCATGAGGAAAACGGTGGTGATAAAGACCCCAGCCCCAGAAGCCCAGATGGTTTTATTGTTTCTGCCAATGTTGGGAAGAACAATTGATTTCTCTTTCATGCCGGTGGTTCCAGGAAACAGTGAAGGAGGAGGAGCTGTCTAGCTGGTTTCGGTGGCGCTGGGGCTGGGAGCGGGGGCCCGTTTCTTGCAGAAGTGGATGCGAATCTCTCCCCGCCACCTGCAAGGTGCTCGCACGCAGCTGTGGGGACTGAGGTGAAGCCGGCTGTCCCTGGAGTGTGGATTAAATGGTTAACGGCCAGGCCGCTAGGGCAGCGCAGGCCCCCGCTGGGCGTCAGGGAGGCTTAGCCAGGCGACGCCAGGATGCCCATGGCAGTGGCTCGATGGCAGGGGCTGGGCTGGGGGGGACCCAGCCCCGGGGTTCAGGGTGGCCCGAAGTCCGTGCACCCCCGCACCGCAATGCGGGGAGGTCCCCGTGGGCGAGCTGCCCAGAGGCTTTGTCGAAGTTGCCCAGCCCTGGGACGGTGGAGGGAGGGCGGTGGCGCGCACGGAGATACCAGTCAGCCCCTGGAACTAGGAACGCGGCTGGGGGCGGGTGACGCAGGCTGGGGTTTGCCGGGGTGGCCCGCGAGCGGCGTGTGACTTGGGGGTTCAAGGAAGTTAAACTGGACAGGCTGGGGTGAGGACAATGGGGGCCTGGAGAGGTGGGGCGAGAGGAGGGCGGGGGTCCCCACGAGCCGCGGCGGAGGCGAGGCGGCGGGTCCACGGGCTGGTTGCATCATCCCGCGGGGAGGGCCTCGGTCACTGCTGCTCTTCCCTGGCGCCCCGGCCCCGACGCAAGATGCGATTTCACCGCGCACCTGTTACACCCAGAGCCAGCATCCCTGGCGCAAGGAGCCCTCCCTCCCCAGCCCCGCCCGCCCCCCACGATGCGTCTGTCGCTGGCTCCGAGCGGGGGCAGGTGGAGGTTTTACGATTTCACTCGAAAGGGGCCAGGGTGGGGGAGGGCCCGGCGAAGGGTCCGCGGGCAAGTTCAGGTGCATGCGGGGCTTCGGGACGGGCGTCGCCGCGTCCCTCCCCCGCGAGGTCTCAGGGGCGCGCCGGGGGAGGGGACGCCGCGTCCGAGCCGGGTGTCGGTCCCCCACCCTCCGCGGGGCCCGCCGCGGTGTCAGCGGTGACGTCACAGCCCGGCCCCGGCCCCCTCCGTCCCCAGCCCAGTTCCCGCGGCGGCCGCGTCGCCCGTCCCTCTCCCCGCGCGACAAACCAGCTGGCGACTGGAGCTCGGACGCCGCGCGCAGCCAACCAGCGCCTCGGGAGGGGCGCTGGGCGGGCCGGGCCGGGGGCGCGCAGCCCGTCACGCGGCGGCGCAGTCACAGCTCAGAGCAGCCGGCGAGCGGCAGCAGCTCCGGGCTCGGGAGCCCGCGCCCATGCCAGTGCCCATGCGGGGCCGCCGCCAGTGACGCCGGAGAGGTAAGGCAGGCGCCCGCCCGGCCTCCCGCGCCCCTCGCCCCGCATCTGCGCCCCGCAGCCCGCGCCCGCAGCCCGCACCTGCACCCACTGCGCCCAGGGCGGGGAGCTCCGGCCCTGCGCCCTTGTTGCGACCCGAAGCGCGGGCACTGTGAGGCCCCTTCCCTTCCAGACCTTCCTCCATCTCCGCAGAGAACAATGGGGGAAATTCAGGGGTGTCCGCCCTTCAGGTGCCGCTGGAAAAGGTCCCTTTGCCGCGATCTCAGCTGCAGCGGGCGGGGGTCGCCCTCTGGAGGGCTCGCCCGGCCGGCGGGATCGGGATACCCCCGCCTTTCCCCGGCTATTCCGCTCTCCTGGAGAGGAGCCACCTGCGGGGCTGCGGGAGGGGCTGCGCCCAGACGGCGGGGGAGGGGAGGGATGGAGAGCGGGGCTGAGGACGCGGATGCCGCACCTGGGAGGGTGCGCGGCTGCAGCGCTTGGGCCTGAGGGGAGAGCGCGCAGGGCTGCCGGGCGCGGGCAGCTGCTCGGGTCCCCGGGTGGGGGAGGGCGGATGCTGGAGCCTGGAGCAAAACAGGCAGGCGGGGCGGGGTCTGCGGCGCTGGGGCCTGGCCACCCGCGTCCTTGCACCGCCGGGCTGCCCATCACCCCCTCCCACGCCAGAGACCCCAGCTCCCTTCCAGAAAGACCCAGCACTTGGGAGGGGCTGCCGGCGAGCACTGCCTGCGTCTCAGCCGCCAGCGCCCCTGTAACAGGTGTGGCCCGGCGGCGAGGGAGGGGCTGCGGGGCTGCCGGGTCTAGGATGGAGGCGCGCCCCCGGCGCCCGGGCTCGGATGACACGAAGGAATAGTGGCCGCGAAGACCTTCGCACTCCCGCTTTAAGCTGCCCCTCACACCGACTCCCCGCAAACCAGCGGCCCAGCCCTCTCGCTGGGGAAGGGCCGGGCAGCATCCCCGCCGGGAGGGAGGGTCCGCAGGAGCGGGGCGCTGGGCGCGGGTAGGTGGGGTTGGGGGGGCACTGCCGGCCGCAGGGGCGGGAGGGGGAGGGGAAGGAGGGAATGCCAAGTCATGGGGCCTGCTGGGCGCGAGCGCGACGTCGCCCGGCGCGGACCCGATGCGCGCCCACGTCCCCGGGAATAGGGACTTTTCTCCAGAGACTGGAGGACCCCCTCCCCAAGCAGCGGCCCTTTCCAAGGGGTGCCTGCATTGCTGGGATTAAAGGCCTGCCAGGGCAAGCGGATTGGATCTTGCGGCTGCGGAGAGGAGGCGGTTCGGAGAGGCCCCTGCCGCGCAGGGCTGGTACTGGCCTCACCCTGGGGACGCACAGCGCGACACCGTGCTCGGCTCTGCGGGACACCCTGTCGCACTCAGGCTGGCGGGACCTTTGCCAGGGAAGCCATGCCAGCACCCTTGTGGTCTGAGAAGGCAGCAGAGGATTTGAAGGGAAGCTCTGGGGTCCACGTGGGGGTTGGGGCTGCACCTGCGGCGGCCATTTTGCAGGTGTGGTTGGCCACCAGCCTTAGCCAGGCTGTGGAGTGGGGCAGGTGTGGAGCTTGCAGTGCAGGGTGTGAGATGGGCCAGGGCCAGGGCTCAGGTCTGCCCTTGCATTGAACACACACCGTCTATTTAGAGGGGTTCCTTGTTTGGTTGATGGGGTAGTTGGAGTCAAGACCCAGGAACCCTCTGGACCAGAGATGCTGTAAGGCAGCTGGCTGAGGGGCCCAGCGTGGGGTCGGGGGAGGGCAGCCTTTACCTGGGGTGAAGTCTCGGGAGGGCACTGGGTCCAAGGCAGGGCCCAGATGAACAGCTTCACTCTGGCTGCAGATGGATCTGAGGCCCTGCAGGTGTCCTCCCCGGGCAGGTCCACACGGCGGACAGAGGCTGGAATCAGGTGTCAAGGCAGGGTTCCCAGCCCAGACCCAGGGAGGTCCCTGTGGTGAGGGCCTGCAAGATGTCTGCTGTGTGCCAGCCCTGCTCCCAGCCAGGTGCTGCCCCCCCGGGTGCCTCCTTTCCCCCTTCCCCACTGGAATGTCCCACAGACTGCCCCGTCTGGGGCTCTGGCTGGCCAGTCACAAACAGGTGGAGTCTGGAGTTCTGCCCAAAGCCCAGGGCTGATGCTTGGCTGGACTGGGATTTAAACTGCGGCCACTGCCCGGCCGCCCAGCCTGTGCCCCACAGTCCTCACTGATGTCATGACTGCTGACCTTGGGCCCACCATGTCCTTTGGGAGTAAGGTAGGGCAGTCCTCCCATGGGATTTGTGGAGGGTGGAAGGGGAGACGTGGGCTACATAGCCCCAGGAGGAGGCGCTGGAGGAGACTGAGGGCATCTCTTCAGGCCACTCAGCCGGGTCAGCCAAAGCCGGTGAGCTGGCTTGACGGGGGCGGGAGGGGAGACGTTCCCACAGAGCTCTGGTCCTACTGGATTGGGGTCTATGGAGGGGCTACCAGCATTAGGCTATTAGGATTGACTGAGCCCTGCACATGCCCAGCTGGCCAATCCTGTCAGGCCTGAGACCATCCGTGCACCTCTATCAGTGAGCTGGGAGGGGCCTGAGCTGCCACCACGGGTGGAGAGTGGTGGGGCCTGGGTCCCCGGGTGGCTGTGATTGGTAGGATGAGCGTGTGGTCATCTGCCTGCAGAGTCCAGGGACCTCTCTAGGACATTGCCACTTTCAGCGTTCTTAGGCCCAAAAGATGTGGCTCACCACCCCCAATATGGGTGGCCAAAGGGGCTTAAGGTGTCACCTCCCACTGCCCATCACCCACTCCATGCCCAGGAGCATCTCTGAGAACCCTGAGGGGCTGGGCTACACCCTGCCCCAAACCTGTCCATGGGTGGCCAGGGTACCCAGGGACACAGCCAGGCAGTGTCCTTGCTGGGTTCTGCCCCTTAGGTGGTGGCCTCCGGCCACAGGCCCATCCCTGCCACAGGAGGGTTTGGGATCCCAGAGCTTTGCATCCCAGTCCTTTGGCATGGCACCTGAGCAGAGACAGGGGCACAGTGGCCCCACCTGACGAAGCCAGCTTGCTCTTTAGCTCCTGAGCCCCACTGGGATCCCCACCCTCAGCCTGGCTGGCCTCTTGCCACCCCAGTGCCCCCACCCCCAGGGCCTGGAGAACCCAGGGAACAGCCAGCTTGGCTTGGCCCATGTGCTCCAGTTGTGCTGTGGGGCAGAGGGCACAGTCAAGGTCAGCAGTCAGTGGAGGCTGAGCCTCCTGACCTCTCCTGCTCCTCACCAGCCCATGCTGCCAGCTTCGGCCTCCTACAGGCCTAGCGAAGTGTAGAGATTGATCCGGATATGTGGATGTGGGACTTGGATGTGGGACTCAGAGGCTGGGGTTGCTGGAATCTGAGTAGGAGGGGCTGCTGCCTCTCTAAAGCCTCCTCACCCTGGATTTAATCTCCTAATCCCAGGCCTTGTGGTCTGGGCAGGCCCAACCCTGGCCGCCACAGAGCCTGGAGATTCAGATGGCCTTTGGGGGTCCCTCCTGCTTGCCATCCCTGCCAGATTTCAGGATGCCCTGGAGTCTAGGGAGGGCAGGCCAGTGCCCGGCTATCCAGGCATCCTGGCGCTTATTCCTCACCCTTCCTCACAGTGCCCTGGAGGGGGCCAGAGCAGTCACTTGGCCACACACACTCATAGTCACATGATCCACTCCAACACACACTGATACACATGCACGTACATGTACACACACATTGCACACACAGACACACACATGCACACACACACCCATACATTCACACACACAGAGACACTCATACGTACACACATGTTCATGCACACATGCACACTCACACACCCACACATGCATTCACACACAAACACACACAGACATACACACATGCTCATGCATGGCTATATACACACATACATGCATGCAGATATAGACACACACACACACACACACACACACACACACACACACACACACACAGAGTCTCTGCATCCCTCGTCCCTGTCTTTGTTCTTGCCTGGGTTTCTTCTCTTGAATACTTTCTATTCAACCTCCACATTAGGTTTTAGGCCCCCCTCAAATGCTGCCTCTGCCGTGATGCCTGCTGTCACCCCTACCCCTCAGATTGGCACCCCCTCCACAACCATAGGTTTCCAGGGGTGGGGAAGAAGACAGGGAACACTGATTGGGCGTAGCCTCCACTGTGCACCTCATGTGCTTCCCTTTATCCCATGCCACTCCACACCTGAACAATGAGAACAGCACCACTTGGCTCCGACCCCACTGAACCAGGTGGTGGTGGTTCCATTTTCCAGGTATGGAGACTGAGGTTCCTGAGAAGCCCATGTGGCTTGTGAAGAGAGGACCTGGGACTCCGAGGACGGTAGCTCCTTTAGTGCTTTCTGCCCGTCCCCCTACTTTTCCCTCCACCCCCATTGTCCCTGACTTCTCCCACCCCCATGGGGGCCAGCACGGTGCCTCACACAGAGTGAGGACTCAGTGCTCTTCCATGGCTGAGCTGGTTGTTTTAGCCCAGGTATTGCATTTCCTGGTGGAGTCCAGGGTGAGCTTTGGCCACCCTCTCAGGGGTTGCGGTGTCCTTGGGTCTCGGGGTCTCCTGTTCGGGGCCTACAGATTCCTGAGCGAGCCTGGCAGAAGAATGACAGCCATCCCCTATCCTCTGGGCCTCCCATGGGGCTCCTGAAATGCAGCTCTAGGGACAGGCATGGCCCTCGACTGCTCCTGCAGGGCCCCTTCCCTGAGGCTAGTAGTGCCAGGAGTACCCTCAAGGGGTTCCTGCCCCCACCTCAGCCCTGCCAGGAACTCTCAGATGGGCCTCAGTTTCCCTTTCCATCTGTCATCAGCTCAAGCCAGGACGGTGCAGGACAGGGCTGGGCTGGGCTGTCAGTGCTCAAGGTCCTGGGTCGGTGTGACTCCTGAGGGGCTGCTGTGGGGCTGGGGCGGGCTGTACTCAGTTGCTCGGTGTCATCTGGTCCCCTCTCTCCTCCTGCTTCCGGGGCTGGGGCCCCACCATGGCTGCAGGTCC